CCCTCTGCAGTTTCACTCTCCAGGTCCTCCGCAGCTCCACGCTCCAGGCCCGCCTCAGCTATGTGTTTCAGGAACGCCCCCGCTGCATGGTCCTGGCCCTCCAACCCTCCCCCTGTTCTGCCTCCGCTCCACCTCCCGCCTGAACATTATTAGAATCGTCTGAAGCCACTTGTTAGTGGGGGGGTTCTGTCACAATCACCAGCGATCGTAACTCCTAAGATCACTAGATCTCATTTACAGTATCTTATGGACTACAATTCTGCCATTTCTGGACTACATTTTCATACATGCACTCCGCTCACAGACACACATGCTTCCTCACTCTAACACTTGCACCACCTGAGGATTGTCAAAGACTGATTACACACACTATTTAAGCAGCACACATACTCATTCACATTGCTGAGTCTTGTCATCTGTATAGTAGCACTACAACGCATTTTCCTAGTCTTGTTTTCCTGTGTTTTGACCTTAGCCTAGTTTGTCTTTTTGTCTTTGTCTGCCGCCTGCCTTACGACCTTTCGCCTGTTATTTGACTACGATTCTGGACTGCCTCTATACATCTGTTTGCACCAGTGTTGACCATTGCTTGCCTGACCACTGAATAAACCTGCATGTGGATTCTACTTCAGTTGTCTTTGTCACTCCCCGTGTTACGCCCCTACACCATCATTTATGGCAAAATGACACAGGCAAAATGACACAGGTTGCCCCCTAAACCTAATAACTGGTTGGGCCACCCTTAACAGCAACTCCAACTAAGCATTTTTTGATAACTTGCAATGAATTTGTTAGAGCTGTCTGTTATCTTTGCAGAACTGTTTTAATTCAGCCACATTGGAGGGTTTCGAGCATAAACTGCATTTTTAAGCACATGCACTACATCTCAGTTGGATTCAGGCCCGAACTTTGACTAGGCTACATCAGATGTGAACTTGCTGGTGTGCTTTAGTTCATTGTCCTGCAGCAGAACTCAAGTTCACTTCAGCTTGAGATCACTAACAGATGGCCAGACAATCTCTTTTAGGATGTTTTAGTACACAACCGAATTCATGGTTCTGTTTATCACAGCAAGTCTTCCAGGTCATAAAGCAGCAAAACAGCTCCACACCATCACGCTATCACCACCACATTTTCCTGTTAGTATGGTGCTCTTTTTGTGAAATTTGCTGTTATTTTTATGTAACACATAATGGGACACACCTTACAAAAAGTTAATTTTTTTCTTGTCAGTCCACAGAGAATTTTTCTAAAAGTCTTGGGAATCATCAAGATGTTTTCTGGGAAAACTGAGACAAACCTTTATATTCTTTTTGCTCAGCTGTGGTTTTCGTCTTCAAACTCTGCAATGCAAACATTTTTGCAGTCTCTTTCTTATGGCGGAGTCATGAACATTCACCTTAACTGAGGGAAGAGGCCTACAGTTCTTTGATGTTGTTGTGGGGTCTTTTGAGACATCTTGGATGAGTTGTCGCTTCTCTATTGGGGTAATTTTGGTCAGCCGTCCACTCCTGGGAAGGTTCGTTACAGTTCCATGTTTGCTATTTGTAGACACTGACTCTCACTGTGGTTCACTGCAGTCCCAAAACTTTCAAAATCTATAACCTTTTCCAGACGGATAGATGTCATTTCATTTCTTTAACATTTGTTTTTGGATCTTGGCATGATGTCTAGCTTTTGAGTATCTTTTGGTTTCCCTCTCTTTGTCAAGAAGCTCCTATTAAAGTGATTTCTTGATTGCAAACAAGTGTGGCAGTAATCTAGCCTGGATGTGGCAAGAGAAACTGAACTCGGCTGTGATAAACCCCAGTTAAGTTATGTTTTAACAGCAGGCACCTTGTTCTGCTCTTACAGCTCTTGGTCCTGTCCCCCTTGCCACACAGACATTTCTTAAAAAACTGAGCAAGTGTCCATAATGGACATGAGTGTTCGTATTGTTCATACCTTGACTGTTTTTCTACATTGATGCCTGTCTATTTGATGTTGCAGCAATCAAAGTTCATCAAATCTGTTTCATAAGTATTTCTCTATGTTGTGTTCAGACAAAGATGTCCCAAAGTAAGACTGCAGGCTGTTGATCTGTATATTAAACTGTGGAAATGTAAAAGATGAGTGTGAATTTGTGTGCAAATGTAACTTCTGTTTATCTTATTGACAGATGTGTTATTGACATTATGTGTGGTATTAAATAAGCTGTGTTCACACAATTAATATTATTATTTACACATCCACACACTAAAAACACCACTTATTGGATTAACAATTATTTTAAATTAAGGGGTTGCAAACTATTTATTTAGGCTGAATTTAAACAAACATATGAAGTTGACCATTGCTAAATTTAATTTGTTTGTTTGTAAATTCAGCTCATATAAATTCATTCATTTATTTTCCTTTTCAGCTTAGTCCCTGTATTAAACAGGGGTCGTCACAGCAGAACGAACCGCCAACTTCACCAGCACATGTTATTACCCGGTGGATGCCCTTCTAGCCGCAACCAAGCACTGGGAAACACCCATGCACTCTTGCATTCACACACATACACTATGGACAATTTAGCTTACACAATTCACAAATCAGCAACCTTCTTGCTTTGAGGTAACAGCGATTTGCACTGCGCCACCGTGTCGCCTCTCATATAAAAAGTTTGCAACAATTTTGCCAAAATCATTTTTTCTGTGCACCACATATAAAACATTAACAACACAGTTAACAACACTGACGACCATCTTGCAATCTAATGAATCCTCTGATACTTTAAAGCTTTTAAGCATTTAAGTGTGTATAGTGAAAGAATATTGTATGAATGCTAATATAGCTAGTTATCAATACAGTTATCTCTATTAGCTTTCTTTATATGATCAAGAACTAATTCAGCAAAAACAACATCAAAACAGGAAACTAAAGCTTATATTTAGAGCACTGAGAGAAAACACTGCAAGTATGCAGCACTTATATATATAGTAGAGCTAATAATTTAGCACATTTCCATCATTAGAGGTTATGCAGAGACAATGTTTTTAAGTTCATTCCTTTTAAAAGAAATGGTCTGCATGCCTTGTTGATCAAAACAGAGCTCACTGACAAAACTACCTCACTGTCTATTAAACCAGGCAGCAAAGTGTATTAATTTGTGAAGATTACCTGTAGTTTTCTTCTGACAGAGGCAGTAGACACAGATGCAGAAGAGGAGAACACACAGCGAACACACACTGACCAGCAGATTCCAGCAGAAAACACACTCTGAGACAGCAGGAGGACTGGAGGTGCTGTTCAAGAGCTCAGAACAGGACGTCTCTTTCTCAAGATGAAACAAACACAAATGAATCAATGAATGTTCATTAAAATATGTTTGTTCTGTTTGTCTTGCTTCCTGGAAAGCTCCAGAAACTACATAATCAGAGACAAAACAACTAGCAGAAGTTATTTCTTACCGGCAAAAGAGAGACGTGTTGTTCGGTTTCCATTATACTACACTGCAGATCCAGAGATGACGCCTCTTTCATTCTTATTGATAGAGTTTTAACATTTGCACAGTAGTACAGTCTCAGATCAGAGACACTGATGTTAGTAATGTGTAGATCATGGGAATCGAATCTCAGAGCAGTTCAAGTATAATTATACTTACACATGAGTGCGATGAGAGTAAGTCGTGGCCTCTCCATCGCAGTGAGTGATTGTGAATTACTGACACTGCTGAGGGTCTTCATGCAGACCAGCGGCTCTTATCTGATTGGTTCACGTCAATGGAAAGTTTTACTTAAAAACATCCTGCGTCAGGAGGGTTTGGCTTTCCATTTGGGTTATTATTTGATGTCCAATGAACAGTAAAATATAGTGTTGACCAATCTCAGCTGTCTTAAAAATGTCTTTGTGATCAGGCACTTGATTAACTCATGAAATAAAAGAAGTCAACAGGAAATAAAAATACTGCTCAAACCTTTCATCAGTAAACAGAGACAGATTTAGCTTGTATGAACACAGATAGAGTCGCATCAGAAATGTTTGATTATAATCACTAAAATTTGTCTGTTGAACTGAAATGAAATATTAGAATAGATCTTTTTCTATGTGTTGCTGCTGTAATTGAGGGTTTTTATGTTTGTTTTGTTAATAGGTCAAAACTGGAAGTGATGAAGGAACAGCATCTGAACATGTCAAAACAGGAAACCCACAAGCCCCGTTCAGAGCCTGTACAGTTCATCCTCTTCACATTAGCGTTTACACTTCACTGATCTGATAAGATCTCTTAGATCATTGACACAAAGCACAGATTTTCCATATATAAAAATGTTTAATTAGTAATCACTACTGATGGGTTAGATTTTCAATATTCAACATTGTTCAGTAATTATTCAGCAGTAATTAAACATCTCTGTAGCATTTCCTCCTGCAGATGTGGTTCAGTCAGTTCAGCACTGCAGGGAGCTGTCCATTGTGCTGAATTTACTCCACACTAAACTCTCTTCTCACATTAAATTCATTATAAGTGTCTGATCAGTGAACAGGATACTGTCATTTCTCAACAACTAAAGAAGGTCTAATGTAGAAATTAAAAGATAATAGGAAATACAACAGATGGATTTGCTTTATGAAAGGAAATTTTGTTGAATGATTATTACAATTTGGTTTAAATGTTGAATGTTGCACTCGTACATGTTGCATTGCTCTGCTCTTCTTTAAATAAATCAAACCTCAGTTGTGTGCTGTTTACACTGTCTCTGATTCATGGCACGTATTTTAATAAATCAGACTTTTGCATCTTCAGTTTCTCATCAATTCCAAGTCATGAAAATAATAAAAGCAACATTTACAGCTGCAGCGTGCACTAAATATTTTCTTACTTTTCTTATTTCTGTTTTTGTCTAACCACAGTTTATCTCATGCATTGATGTGTGTATTGAGCATGCAAGATCACCAGCTTGACCACAAACAGTTTTAGGACATTCAGTCTGTTGCATGCCTGAATAAAAACACTTGTGGTTTGTGTTCTCGCCTAGCTTTTCACAGCAACTGCAACATCACTGCACCAGGAGCGTCAGTAAAGACCAAGAAGAAGAAGAAGAAACACAGCACTGAGCCTGAAAGCTGATGTACTGTAGGCTGCAAGCAGAATCCTTTATGACCCAGAGATAATTTAATATAAAAAATGTATATCAATATAATAAATGAATCATATTATTAATCATATTATTCATTTTATAAATAATTTTTAACTACATTCAAAAAATAGAAACCTGTTTACCTTTAATATGTTTACTTTAATTAACTTTGATATATTTTTACTACTGTAAACTGGTGTATAAAATCAGGCCGCTTCAATGCACACTTTGCACCCTTAACAGAAGTTCAGAAGCTCAAATCACATCAAATCATCAAACGTAATGACAAACGAGAGATGTTTTTCTGAATTAAAATACAATCTTTTTTTGTTTTAATATAAATGAACAAGGCTAGATCGGTTAGGAAAATTCTAGCAAATGTACAAGCTAATTGTCATTACAGACCTTGTGATAGTAATTTAGCTTATTGAAAGCTGTATATTAGTGATGAAAACAGCTATTTAGATTCATACAAACAGAAATAATGTATTTATAAACTTGCACCTTTCTGCTGTGGACGCTATCTTGTGGTCAGACGCGGGAACTCATTCGGCAGGTGAACTTTTGTGCTTTCTAGCCCTTGAGTGAACACAAAGTCCCTTAAAAAGCCTTCACATACATCCAAAAATAACGAAAACATTAATAAAACTTAATAATATTAAATCTGAAAACAAGAGCAAATGAAAAGTACATAAATATGACTGAACCATGTAGCCTACCAGATGATGATACAAACGGCCATGTGATCTGAAATCGTGCGTAGACCATAGACTGTAAAATATAGGCATAGACATAGAAATTGTGAACGATTTAATTTACTTTCTATTATTTACAATAATAAACTTTTTTTAACTTATATTCCTAATATCTACGTGAGCAGTTAGCACTGTACGTGTAATTAACCAGCATGCACTTACATTGCTTGGGCCACAAATAGAAAATATATGAGTTAATTTTATTATTTTAATTTAATTAATTCCTAAATAGCTGTACATTTTACAAAGTCAAACCTTGTCAAACCAATCTTGCTCATTTAGCATTATTATTACAGTTTCGTGAATTATAAATTAATTAATTTAAACTTCATTATTATTATCATTATTATTACTATTATTATTATTATTATAACTATGTTATTTATTATTATTAATTATTTATTATTTATATGTTGAGATGAGATGAATCGTTTACTCACGTGATTCAGATTGGCGATTCAAATTGCGGTGGCTATAGCAACGCGTGTTATGATTTGACTCCATATATAAACACCGAGACTCGCCGCTATCTGTTGATTGAGGAGAGGCGAATTTCTGAGACATTTGCTGAGGATTACTGTGCTGATACTGCGATTCTTCAAGGAGACCAGAGAATTTCTGACAGAAGACTTTTATTTTACAAGGAGATCGACGCTCAGAGCTGAAATTATTCCTTTTGACACGTTTTGTTGCTCTTTTGTTGTGTTTATTTTGATTTTGATCTTGTTTTTATTGTTTTTATTGACATTTTTATTGATATTTGATCTTTGTTCTTGTTTTCAGGTTTGCTGGAGTTTGGAGGAGTTTGTCAGATGGGTGAAAACCGCAGTGAGTGTTTTAGTTTTTATTTGTTTATGATCAATCATGATATGATGTTGTGTAATGTTTGGGGAAATGTGATGTAAATAAACTGGTACAAATGAACCCATTTCAACACAACTGTTCCCCGATATAAGTGATCAGATGTCTTTTATTCTCTGTTGATGCAGCTACTAAAGTTAATTGTTGATTAATTCTTATAATCTTATGATAAACGTGATATGTTGTTGTTGTTGTTGTCGTTGTCTCAGGCCGCTCCAGATCCAGAAGTTCTGCTTTCATCCAGGCAGCTGTTCAGGACGTCAGGACACATGATGGTGATGGTGAAACCCAGACCGTGAGCCAAGAGCTTGATGGATTTCTCGCACCTCTGCCTTCCCCGTTGGCCAAATCTGTGTCCACAGATCAGGGTAACAGGAAGAGGAAGCGGCAGAGCGGCAGCCAGCAAACACCAGAAGATGAACGTCCGTCCACCTCATCTAGAAGAGCTCTCAAACGCTCTCGCAGAGGTCAGAATGGCTTATTGAAGAAGTGATGATGATGTTTCAGTAATGCTCTTTTACAGTTTTCTCTACTGCTGCATGTTTTCTTTGAACACACATTTCTACTGCTCTTCTGTGTTGCAGACGCGTATGCAAAGGGCCCACTGCTGGGAGACGGTGGATTTGGCTCTGTGTTTGCTGGGATGCGCAGGTCTGATGGACTGCCAGTAAGTCGTTTTCTCCGCTCTTCATTCAAACAGCCTTTAGAAATCCTGATCTCAGTAAATGTGATGTGTGAGGATCAGGCAGGTGTGATTTATTATGCTTTATCTGTCTACAGGTCGCCATCAAGTATGTGTCTAAAGAGCGGACACAGAGGAGACTGAGAGTTGTGAGTTCAGTGTGAACCTGTTGTTGTGTTTGATGTTTCATTGGGTTCTGAATCCAATCGTTTGTCCTGCAGGAAGGTCAGGGTCGGCTGCCGCTGGAGGTGGCACTGATGACCCGCGTCAATTCAGCTCCTGCCTGCCCCAACGTCCTGCAGCTGCTAGACTGGTTTGACCGTCCCAGACGCTACATCCTGATCCTGGAGCGTCCGGATCCCTGCCAAGACCTCCAGAGCTTCTGTGAGGAGAACGGCTGTCTGGATGAGGGGTTCTGGCCAAGAAAGTGCTGGTGCAGCTGATCGCGGCTCTGAAACACTGCGAGAGCCGCGGAGTCCTGCACCGGGACGTCAAGCCAGAGAACCTGCTGATCTCCACAGAGTCCCAGGACATCAAGCTGCTGGACTTCGGCTGTGGAGATCTGCTCAAGCGCTCGGCCTACAAATACTTCGCAGGTGGGTTTGTGTTGCAGAAGGAAACACTCTGTGGATGTTTGTGAGCTTTTGATGATCCACCAAAGGGAATTTGTGTGTGCTGGAGTGTTTTGAACGGGTGTTTGTGTCTCCTTGTGTCTCTCAGGAACTATTCAATACGCTCCACCTGAGTGGTTCTGCAGACAGCGCTACCATGCGGGTCCAGCTACGGTGTGGTCAGTAGGAGTGACCCTCTTCAACATCCTGTGCAACCGTTTCCCCTTCGGAGGCTCACTGAGGGTCACGTCCAGGAGCAAACTGACCTTCCCCATAACTCTGTCAACAGGTAAGAGACTCACTGAGAGATCAGCAGAAGTGTGTTGCTCTGTGTTTCTGAACACGGTGTTGTGTGTATCAGAGTGCCGTCAGCTGATTGGCTGGTGTCTCAGTCCAGCGGCGGCTGATCGGCCCAGTTTGGACGATATTGAGCGCCATCCCTGGTTACAGTGAACAGGTGGCCAGTGACTTGACACTTATCTGAGTGACGCACTCATGGCTTTGATTGTGTTGTTAGGGTCAGTCTGGATTAATGATCTTAATGATTTGTGTAGGGTGAGCAGGAGTCACACAGGAAGTGCAGAGAACTGCTTCCTGATCACCTGCAGAATGAGGAGTGGGCATTAACTAATGGCCGACTCACCCAGGGCCGGGGCCCCTTTACCTGCACTAAGCCACCGCTTCAGATGAATTTAATGTTAATAGGGATTTTAATAATAAACGTATTATTTAGACAAATAATCCAGGTGTAGTGTCTTCCTAGAGTGACTGGAGAGAGCTCAAATAAAGGGAGAGTTCACACAGAAATCCAGATTTACTCACTGTTTACTCAAACTCAAGCGGTTTCAAATCTTTAAGAGTTTCTTGTTTTCTGTTTTGCACAAAATAAAATGTTTTGAAGAAGCTGAAAACCTGTAACCGTTGACTTTCATAGTAGCAAAAACAAACAAGTCAATGGGTACAGCTTTTCAGCTTTCTTCAAAATATCTTCTTTTGTATTGAACAGAATAAAGAAACTCAAACAGGTTTGGAGCAAGTGAAAGGGAGTTAATGATACAGAATTGTTATTTTGGGGTGAACTATCCATTTAAGTCCTCTTAATGGAGGTTTTCATAATGGTTTTAAAATGAAGATTGCAGCTCTACTGACTGAGGCTAAAGGTGTGATGAAATATTGTTTAGGTTGTTATTCCATTAAATGATCTCATAGGGTTGTTATATATATATATATATATATATATATTGTTGTGGTATGTGCCCACAGCAGTAAAACCTTTGAAATGGTGTACACATCTGATGATCTAAGACCTAGCTTTTTAATATTAGGGTTGTTCAGAACACTGTTAGATGTACATTTGCATACTAGCTGTGATTTTTGTTGTTGTAGCAGGGAGAGGTTTGTTTTATGGCATAATAACAGTTTAGAAATGTACAGTGTTTCTAGCTGGGAGTACTACTGTATATGCACTCATGTGATTGGCTCCTTTTGGTATTTTAGATGCCCCCCTTCAACGCTCGGCTAGTGCTGGCTCTAATCACAAAATAAAAATGTTTGTGATAATCATAGTTGTCAAAAAAGTCCAGTAGGGTTGATAAACATATAAGATAGAAAATCACCTGTAATGATTACCTTAAGCCAACATACAGCGGTCGACACTTATGGTCAAAGTTGTTGTACAGCACATTATGATCTGGTGTGATGCTTTTTTTTGCAATAAGAAGATAGAAAAGAATAAATAACAGAAATAAGAATTTTTTTAGGACCCCAGGGCTTATATTATATTAAACTGAGAGACCCAGAAACAACACTGAGTCCTTTCTGAGACTGCAAGTCAAATATTCTGAAAAAACATTTAACCTTTCTTAAATGTATTTACATTTTTAATCATTAAAAACTTACAATATTAGAATCAATGAAAATAGGATGCAGATGCCAGAACATTGTCATTAACACTCTTTTGAATCATATTTCTACTAAAGAACAATGACTTTAGTTTACTCTACTTTACATTCTGCTGGTTCTGACATTAGAATAAATACTGAAGTCTGAACTCTGAGCTCTTTCATTCCTCTGCCTTTGTTGCTGTGCGGAAGGCATGTCTAATGAAGCATAACACACTTCATCACCAGCCTGAAACAAAATATATTTAATTAAAATAATAAACAAATAAATAAACAAATAAATATATTATATTATATTGATGTAATTTATGTTGCTGCTAAACTATTGCGAATAATATATATTAAAATTATTCTCAAAATGTGCTCATACCTCAACATGTCTGTATTCAGCTCCAGAACCTACAGAAAATTAACAAAACATAAGAGTTATTTACATTTGGTTTATTATATAATACTCTAAGTTTATGAAAGTCAGTCTAGTTAGGATTAAATGTTCAGGATCAAATGATTACTTGTATTTTTCTTCTGACAGAGGCAGTAGACACAGATGGAGAAGAGGAGAACACACACCGAACACACACTGAACAGCAGATTCCAGCAGAAAACACACTCTGATGCACGTGATGTGGAGGTGCTGTTAAACCGTTCAGCACAAGGAGACTCTTGCTCTAAAATGAACAACAGGCCATTATTAAAGTGAATATATATGTAGTTATTATATTCATTTTATTTTATCTTTACTGAAAAATATGAGTTTAACACTGATGAATTTGCTAAAAGTCGTTAGAAAATCAGAAGTTAAAGATTCTGATATTCTAATATAAAATACATTTCAAATCATTGTTTTATAAAAATATAATTTATTTGCTGTTAAATTAATTTAAAATAGTTTTAGAAACTAAGGTACACTTTAAAAAACTAATTATAAACAGACTTATTTTACTAGTATATTTTATAAATATACATTATTTCTGTATTTGAAGTCGGACTATGGCTGCAGGATTGTGTCGCTTAATTATTTGCAGGACTTTTAATTATTAATAAATAATAATCATTAATTATCTTTAAAATTCATTCAAATAATATTAAAATTATAAAGCTTTAGGTAAACATGTAGACTTTTCATTAAAGCACAGCTATATTATGAAGAGATAAACTATAATTTACACTATTATTATAATAAATAACACTTTAATTTACACTGTAGATGTTTGCATGTCTCTTCATCAGCTGTATTAGAAACACATTTAAAGACATCAACCAAACACCTGCAGAACAAAAACAAGAGTGTGTATTAAATCTCTAGCACATCATCAAGAATAAATCATGACATTCAAACAGAAATATTGACTTACACAGAAGTATGATGACTGTAAATCTCACTCGCTCCATCTCAGAGACTGTGAATGTGAGGGTCTTCAACTGCAGTGTGAAGGATCTGCTTCATTGTGGTGGGAGGGATCTCTGTGGAAGAGCTCTGAATCTTTGTGTTTTTTTTTTTGGGGTTATTATCTGGTTTGTTCCCTCTCATCTGCTGCTCATCAGCTTAATTATAAAATGCAAGAGTGAACTCAGTTTCATAAATTGTTGTGACTTTTTTTTGCATCTCTGAGCATTGCACTCTCAGCTTGCTTCATAAAGGCTGCATCCAGATACTATTGGCAAAGCTTTCCATTCCATTTGTGCACTCTATACAAGCTCAAGTCACAACTAGTGCACTGACACAATAACAAGGCTGTGGTTTCCTGTTTTAGCTTGTCTAAAAATTAGATAGTGAAACAAGAGTGATCATGGTCAGTTTTTTTATTTTATTTATCAGTTTAATATGAGACTGGGTGGATGAATCAGTAGATCAAAATGACATTATAAACACTGAGACCAAATAAGACTATCAAATATTAAACAGTAGCACCTAAGCAGTTCTTTGTGCTTTG